CTAAAAGCTAATACAAAATCCAAGATGGCTGTCATACATAAAAGGGAAAACTGACCATAACTCAGGCATTTTTTGCTGCATTGAGCTAAAATTTGACCAAAACAAACTCATGAGAAGAAAGGCGAACCACTAATGCTAATTTTTGAAAATGTAATAATTCTGCCATTTTTAAACATACAAAGCTGAAAACTGGTATAGTAGTAGCTGAGAACAATCTTCAACAAAAGCTCAGTGCTAAATAAAACTTCAAGGTGGCCACCAGAGCTAAATTGAAACTGCAATAACTCAACCATTTTAAGACATATTGGGCTGAAACTTTGTGTGGTGGTAGCTGAGAATGATCACCTCCACATACTGAATCCAAATAAAAAAAACAAGATGGCTGCCATAGCTAAAATGTAAAATTGACCATAATTCAGCCATTTTCAGACATTAGACACAGACTCCAGCTGCAGTCCACCCATGTGTTGGTCTTAACATAAATTAAATTTTATGAGAAACAAATGTGTTTTCTTTTAGCTATAAGCTATAATTATATAGATTTATACCACACAGAGGGACATATTTAAACAGTTTTTCTCTACATTCTGATAACAAGTCTGACTTTTTGAATCGTCATTGAAATGAGTATACATTTTGATGATGTTCTAGTTTGTTGAGATGTACAGTACCTGTTGGAGTGGATCTAAAGTCTCGTGTAATAAATACTTCAGGAAGTACCCGAGCATCAGCACTGACGAGCAGAGGGACCAGTACAGGGCTGTGTTCAATGACCAGTAYGCTGAGTACAAGGAGCTGCACGCTGAGGTCCAGGCCATGGCCAAGAAGTTTGAAGAGATGGATGAGATGATGCAGAACCTCCCATCCAGACCCTCCAGCCAAATGGTACTGCTCTGACCCGGTTTACACACATGTTGGGGTTCAGGCTGCAGGATCAAATCCACTAACAAGTTATTTTTATTTCAGGAGAAAGAACGGATCAACAGCATTTTATCTGAGTATCAAAAGAAGAAATCTGTAAGTATCTTCACTTTAGGTTTACAACCAAATCTCTCTGAGACCCATTCTCTCTGTGTGAACTAAACATCTGAAAACAGCAAAATAAAACTTYTAAACACAAATGTGTCCTGCGAGGCAGCAGGAAAACGTGTAGCTAAATGTGATGTTTAGTTTCTGTAGAACAGCTGTTATCTGACATCATGAAACTGTTGGTAGAAACTTCATTCATTTCTCTGACTGTATGAAGACCTTTCTAAAGGGTCAAATCTCTAGAAACAATGATCCCGTTGGACTGGGTGATATGGCAGAAAAACAAATCAGAATATAGGCCTGGACTATAAACAGAAAATTAACCAACACTGAAATTTATGACAATGACAGTTTGTCAGTATTTTTGATGTTTTTGATGAAGTTCTGTCGCCATGATGGACTTCTTGATGGATTTCCATCATTTTGAACGTGGCAGACCCCTTCTTCCACACTTTGCTCCAGAGACTCTGGTATCTGAAATGTAACATTGTATGTTTATGTGTTGAAAGTGTTGTTATCAAGCAGATGTGTCAAACTTTGCTCATGCGACCAAATTCCTCTCTCCTCATGAGTGTGCTGTTACAGGCTGAGTCTTTCTGTCAGATCTGCTGTTTCAGTAGCCTGGTAAAAACCAGCCCCTTGTTTTACATTTTGCTTCATACAGAGGGTCTTGACTCTTGGTTTGTGCGAAACAATTGCTTGCTAGAGGCGTGGACTTTGTTGAAGTTTAAAATGATTGGATCTGATTTTACCCAATGCAGTGCACCAGCTTGACCATGAAGGAAGCTAGGCTAAGAAGCTAACTGGAAATCATGTGCTGTAAACAACCATACTCTACTGGGAAGTAGGGCTGTGTATTGGCAAGAATTTGGCGATACGATACATATCATGACAGAGGGGTCACGTTACGATAAATCCCAATATATTGCG